TATGTGTTATATATTATTATATCATTACATATTATATCATTATATAATATATATTTATATTTATTATATCTAATATATTAAATATATATTAAATATTAAATATATATTAAATATATTGAATATATAATATATTTAATATGTAAAATATATATTTTATATATAGTAAATGTAAATATATATAATCTATATTTACATTTATTGATAATCATATGAGGATATAATAATTAATAATAGTGTTTGTGTTATTTAATTATTAATTATTAATAATATTCCTGGAAAATCACCTTTATTCCGCAAAAAAAAAATCGTCTTTATCCGTGGAAAAATTCCCTTTTTTTAATGGAACATCCACTTTATTCATGGAAAAGCACCTCGAGGTGGGAGAAGAGCAGGGGAGGCCGGGATTCCTGGGAATCTCCATCCCAAGAGCAAAGGAGGCTGGGATTCCTGGGAATCTCTATCCCAAAAAACAAAGGAGGCCGGGATTCCTGGGAATCTCCATCCCAAAAAACAAAGGAGGCCGGGATTCCTGGGAATCTCCATCCCAAAAAACAAAGGAGGCTGGAATTCCTTGGGAATCTCCATCCCAAGAGCAGGGGAGGCCGGGATTCCTTGGGAATCTCCATCCCCAAAACAAAGGAGGCCGGGATTCCTGGGAATCTCCATCCCAAAAAACAAAGGAGGCCGGGATTCCTGGGAATCTCCATCCCAAAAACAAAGGAGGCCGGGATTCCTGGGAGTCTCCATCCCAAAAAACAAAGGAGGCCGGGATTCCTTGGGAATCTCCATCCCAAAAAACAATGGAGGCCGGGATTCCTTGGGAATCTCCATCCCAAAAAACAAAGGAGGCCGGGATTCCTGGGAGTCTCCATCCCAAAAACAAAGGAGGCCGGGATTCCTGGGAGTCTCCATCCCAAAAAACAAAGGAGGCTGGGATTCCTGGGAATCTCTATCCCAAAAGCAAAGGAGGCCGGGATTCCTGGGAATCTCCATCCCAAGAGCAGGGGAGGTCGGGATTCCTTGGGAATCTCCATCCCAAAAGTAAAGGAGGCTGGAATTCCTTGGGAAGCTCCATCCCAAAAAACAAAGGAGGCCGGGATTCCTTGGGAATCTCCATCCCAAGAGCAGGGGAGGCTGGGATTCCTGGGAATCTCCATCCCAAAAGCAAAGGAGGTCGGGATTCCTGGGAATCTCCATCCCAAGAGCAGGGGAGGATGGAATTCCTTGGGAAGCTCCATCCCAAGAGCCAGGGATGCTGGGATTCCTGGGAATCTCCATCCCAAAAACCAAAGGAGGCCGGGATTCCTGGGAATCTCCATCCCAAAAGCAAAGGAGGCCGGGATTCCTTGGGAATCTCCATCCCAAGAGCAGGGGAGGTCGGGATTCCTTGGGAATCTCCATCCCAAAAGTAAAGGAGGCTGGAATTCCTTGGGAATCTCCATCCCAAAAAACAAAGGAGGCCGGGATTCCTGGGAGTCTCCATCCCAAAAAACAAAGGAGGCCGGGATTCCTGGGAATCTCTATCCCAAAAGCAAAGGAGGCCGGGATTCCTGGGAATCTCCATCCCAAGAGCAGGGGAGGTCGGGATTCCTTGGGAATCTCCATCCCAAAAGCAAAGGAGACCGGGATTCCTTGGGAATCTCCATCCCAAAAGCAAAGGAGGTCGGGATTCCTGGGAATCTCCATCCCAAAAAACAAAGGAGGCCGGGATTCCTGGGAATCTCCATCCCAAAAGCAAAGGAGGCCGGGATTCCTGGGAATCTCCATCCCAAGAGCCAGGGATGCTGGGATTCCTGGGAATCTCTATCCCAAAAAACAAAGGAGGCCGGGATTCCTTGGGAATCTCCATCCCAAAAGCAAAGGAGGCCGGGATTCCTGGGAATCTCCATCCCAAGAGCAGGGGAGGCTGGGATTCCTTGGGAATCTCCATCCCAAAAAACAAAGGAGGCCGGGATTCCTGGGAGTCTCCATCCCAAAAACAAAGGAGGCCAGGATTCCATGGGAATCTCCATCCCAAAAGCAAAGGAGGCCGGGATTCCTTGGGAATCTCCATCCCAAAAAACAAAGGAGGCCGGGATTCCTGGGAACCTCCATCCCAAAAGCAAAGGAGGCTGGGATTCCTTGGGAATCTCCATCCCAAAAAACAAAGGAGGCCGGGATTCCTTGGGAATCTCCATCCCAAAAGCAAAGGAGGCTGGGATTCCTTGGGAATCTCCATCCCAAAAAACAAAGGAGGCCGGGATTCCTTGGGAATCTCCATCCCAAAAAACAAAGGAGGCTGGGATTCCTTGGGAATCTCCATCCCAAAAAACAAAGGAGGCCGGGATTCCTTGGGAATCTCCATCCCAAAAAACAAAGGAGGCCGGGATTCCTGGGAATCTCCATCCCAAAAGCAAAGGAGGTCAGGATTCCTTGGGAATCTCCATCCCAAGAGCAGGGGAGGCTGGGATTCCTTGGGAATCTCCATCCCAAAACCAAAGGAGGCCGGGATTCCTGGGAATCTCCATCCCAAAAAACAAAGGAGGCCGGGATTCCTTGGGAATCTCCATCCCAAGAGCAGGGGAGGCCGGGATTCCTGGGAATCTCCATCCCAAAAAACAAAGGAGGCCGGGATTCCTGGGAGTCTCCATCCCAAAAAACAAAGGAGGCCGGGATTCCTTGGGAATCTCCATCCCAAAAACAAAGGAGGCCGGGATTCCTTGGGAATCTCTATCCCAAAAAACAAAGGAGGCCGGGATTCCTGGGAGTCTCCATCCGGGCCGGAGCGCGGGATGGGGGAGGAGGAGCCGCGGGATCCCCCCTGGCTGTGCCTGGAGAAGGTTTTTGGGGAGAGGCCTCGGGGGTTCCCTCCCAAACCGCTCGGGTTTGACCAGAACCGGATCTTTCCGTGCCCTTTCCTTGCTAATTCCAGGTGGGATTCCCGGGATGCGGCTCCGTCCCGGTGGGTGTTTGTGGGAGCTCTCCGTGCCATCCCTCCCCTCCTTCCCGGGTCATCCTGGTTGGAACAACCCGCTCCGGTGGAAGGGGGTGGGATGGGATGGACCTTTGGGATCCCTCCCAACCCGGAGCGTTCCCTGATTTCCAATAATAAACTCCAATTTCCGTTAATAAAAGGGCTTTTTCCACTGTTATCCGGGGGATTTTTCCAGCAATAAAGTCGAATTTCTATTAATAAAAGGGATTTTTCCATTGATAAATGGGATTTTCCTTTAATAAGCGATTTTTCACTCATAAAAGAGGTTTTCCCGTTAATAAAGTCGATTTTCCACTGAGATGATTTTGCACGAATAACGAAGACGATTTTCCGTAAATAAAAGTCATTTTTCCATGAATAAGGTTGATTTTCCGTTAATAAGTGATTTTTCCTTTAATAAGGTTTATTTTCCACTAATAAGTGATTTTTCCATGAATAAAAGCGATTTGTCCAGTAATAAAAGGGATTTTTCCATAACAAAGTTGATTCTCCAACAGCAAAGAGGATTTCCCATTAATAAAGTTGATTTTCCAATAACAAACGTGATTTCCCATTAATAAAGTTGATTTTCCAGTAACGAAGTCCAATTTCCATTAATAAAAGGGCTTTTTCCCGTTAAGAAACGTGATTTTCCCACTCATAAAAACGAGTTTTCTGTCAACAAAAGTGCTTTGTCCGTTAACGAAGTTGATTTTCCACTGAGGTGATTTTCCAAAAATAAAAGTGATTTTCCATTAATAAAAGGGATTTTTCCAAAAATAAAAGTGATTTTCCATTAATAAAAGGGGTTTTTCCATCAATAAAAGGGGTTTTTCCATGGATAAACGTCGATTTTCCGTTAAGGCCGTTCCCGATTTGCTCGTGGAGGGAGGGGGGGGATTTTGAGGCCGTTCCTTCAAAACCTCCTGGGAGCGAAGTTCATTTTTCCCGACGTTTTCCCGCCGCGTTCGGGCGCGGAGCTCCGCGTTTTCCAGAGGATCCCGGGTCCGGGTGGATCCGTAACAAAAACACGGAGCTCCGCGTTTTCCAGAGGATCCCGGGTCCGGGTGGATCCGTGACGGAAACACGGAGCCAGGGAGGGTTTCCTCCTTTGGGAGAGGCCGAGTCCAAAGCTCGGCCCAGAGATTCCATCTGGCGCCTCCCAGGGCTTTATTTTCCGTGTTTTTCGATGCTTCTCCAAGGAATTTGCCTCCGGAGTAGGTCGACGGTGGGATCTTCTCCCCCTTCTGGGAACGAGGGGATGTGGGATCGGGGCTTTTTTGGGATTCGCCTCTTCCAGCCGTGGCTTTGACCGTCTGTGGGATGGAGCCGTGGGATGTTTGGGATCCCTTGGGATGGTTGAAGGGGGGGAATGTGGCTTGGGAAGGGTGGGACGTGAAGCCGGAGCCCCGGGCGGGGCTCGGTCACCCTCTGCTGAACCATCCCGAGGAAACAATTCCCGATTCCGAGGAGGTGGGAGCGGATCCCGAGAGCGGAACCCGGGGCGGGGCAGCTCCGGGATCCCTGCGGGTTCCCCCTGGCTGATCCCGGAGGAGGCGCCGGGAGGTCGTCGCCGTCCCCCTCGGCGGCTCCTCGTCCCCGGTTTTTGCGTCCTGGAAAACAAGAGCCGGGCACGATTCCGGCGCGGGGAAAACGGGAAACGCTTCGTTGAACACGAGAGCTCCATTTTAATGTCGTCCGGGGCTGGACGTGTTAACGAAGGGGGCGGCCTCTGTTAATTGGGGAGTTCCACGAGTTTTCAGCTGCGATTTCCAAAGAGTTAGTTTTCCTTCGAGCGGGATTCCCCCGGGGGGACAGAGGGGTCGCGGGGGTTTAGACGCGGCTTTAACGATCACCTCGAAAAGTCCTTTCTTAAAATTCTTCTTGGAGCCGGGTTCGTGTCTCCGGGCTGCGCATCAACAGGCCTCCGGACAAGGGTCCAAACTCCTGGAACCGCGTTTGCCAGCCCTTGTTTTCCGAGGCTTGTGATTGGGATTCACGGAGCCTCCTTTGTCTGAGAGCTGGTTTTTGTCCCCCTTCGTTGCAGTTCGTCGCCTTCCGGAGTGTTCGAGAAGGAATATGACATTTACCGGGATTACAGCGCCGAGGGGCAGCTCCTGCACTACAGGTATCCCAGAATTCCCCCTCCCGGGATGGGCATCGAATTCCTGCTTTTCTGGGCCTCCTTCCCTCCCTTTTCCCTCCCTGGGCTGCCTTTTGTAGCTTCGCTTCCACCCTCGAACCGACCTCCAGGAGACTTTGGGTGGATCCTGGGAGCGGGGACGTTCCGGCCTTTCCGGGGGGTTGGTCCTTGTTTGAGGGGCTCCTTCCCGTGGGGAGAAACCGGAGCGGGGCAGGACAACCGTGGGATCGTTCCCCTTGGGATCGTTCCGTCTCCGCGGGGTCTCGGGGGTGGGAAAACCTCCCGGGAAACGACCCTTCTCCCGGGAAAACCAGCCGCCTCTCCCGAGCTGAGGATCCGACTCGTTTTTCGGGACGGAGAGGAGGTTTTTCCCGCTCGGATTTCGGGCGCTGAACCCAAAGCTCCGCCTCCGACTTCCGTGGATTTGGTGGGATCGGGGAACCGCGGGATGGTTGGGGTCGGAGGGCGCCGTGAAGGTTCACATTCCCTTCCCCTGGAACGATTTTCCTGCTGCTCCAGGCGGAAAAAAAATTCCCCCCTTCTTTGTCCCGTGATTCGCCGGCGCCGAGTGACCCTCCGGGAGCGTCGGGATGAGGAAGGAAAAACTGGGGAAAAGGAGCCTTGTGGGAGAGGAAAGCGAGAGGGGGGTGGGACCTGGGGCTTTTCCTGGGAGGGTTGACGTTCTCCGGGGGCGTCGGATGCGCTCGGAGAGACCTTTCCATGGACGAATTTCCAGGTGGGGAAACCCTGGGATCCGTCTGCTTCCAAACTTCCAAGTGGGAAAGGCTCCGGGGCGGCCTTGGCAGTGCTGGGGGGGGGGGTGGGGGTGGACTGGTTGGGCTCAGAGGGATTTTCCCACATTGATGATTCCGTCATTCCATGATTCCACACCTCCCACCGTCCCAGGTCGCTCCAGCCTGGCCTTGCACACTCCCAGGGATCCAGGGGCAGCCACGGCTTCTCTGGGAATTCCACCCCGGCCCCTCCCCACCGCCCCCGGCAGGAATTCCTTCCCCGTATCCCACCTATCCCCGCCCTCCGGCAGTGGGAAGCCATTCCCTGCGTCCTGTCAGGGACGGATGATCCGGGGCTGGAGATCCCGGAGGGTGCTGGGAATGCGGAGGGGGCTGAGCTCCGGGGGCTGTGAAATTCCATCTGGGATAAACAGGAGCTGGAAATCACCATTTTTGGAGCCCCCCCCCCGGGGGCGGATTCCCTGTGGGCGGATTCCCTGTGGATTCCCTGCTATTCCGGGAAATGTCACTGCCGGTCTCCTTGTCCTTCCTCCCGGCGGCTCCCTGGGCTCCCTTCCCAGAATTCCCTCCTCCCGCTGGGAAGCAAAGCTCCCCTCTCGCTCCGCTGACATTTGGATCTTGGAAAAGAGGCTCTTTTTTGGGAGAGAAGCTCGGAGCGGCTCCCGGGAATCCGGCTCCGTTCCCACCTCGGCTTCCCGGATGGATCGGGTGCGTGGCCCTGGTGCCCCCTCCTGGTGTGTTCCCGAGGAGGTCGGTGGGCGGGAAGGTCCTTGTCCGAGCCCAGGACTCCTCAGGAACCCTTTTCCAAGATCTTTGTGGTGTTTCCTCACCCTCCACATCCCATAAAATCCTTTCGCCGTGGATTCGTGGCCTCCAGAACTTCCGGAGCTTTCCGCCACCCCCGGTCGGAGAGCGGGCGGATCCGTCGTCTCAGCTCTGTCTCAGGGTCCTGCTTCTCCCAAAAAACCCGGCTGGGATGGGATGGGGAGGGATGGGAAGTTTCGTTGCCTCCCTCTCATCCCGATTCAGCCGCGGGAACGGGAACGGGAGAGGAATTTCCCGTTGGAATTCGGTGTCGAGGACCTGGAGCTGGAAGCTCCGCCCGGAGACGAGGGGTTGGACGATCCCTGAGGGTTCCACCTTCTCCTTTGGGGATAAAAAAATTAGGGAAATTTAAAAAAAAAACCAACATCAACACCCGAATTTGACTTTGGAGAGGTTTAATCCCTCGGGAATATTCTACTGGGAGAACGGGATTGGGCACGGAGGAGTTTTTTGGGATCCAAAGCTTTGACGTCACCGGGGACGGGCTGGAGGTTTGGAGCGTTCCCGCGGCTCCGGAATTCCCCTAGCAAGGCCAAAAATGGTGTTCCCGTGCCGGGACACCCCGTGGGTTGTGTTGGATCCATCGGATGGTCCTTGGGACCCCAAAAGTTGGTGTTGGATCCATCGGATGGTCCTTGGGATCCCACCGTTGGTGTTGGATCCCTTGGATGGTCCTTGGGATCCCACTGTTGGTGTTGGATCCATCGGATGGTCCTTGGGATCCCACCGTTGGTGTTGGATCCATCAGATGGTCCCTGGGATCCCACCGTTGGTGTTGGATCCCTTGGATGGTCCTTGGGATCCCACTGTTGGTGTTGGATCCATTGGATGGTCCTTGGGATCCCACCGTTGGTGTTGGATCCATCGGATGGTCCTTGGGATCCCACCGTTGGTGTTGGATCCCTTGGATGGTCCCTGGGATCCCACCGTTGGTGTTGGATCCATCGGGTGGTCCTTGGGATCCCAAAAGTTGGTGTTGGATCCATTGGATGGTCCTTGGGATCCCACCGTTGGTGTTGGATCCATCGGATGGTCCTTGGGATCCCACCGTTGGTGTTGGATCCATTGGATGGTGCTTGGGATCCCACCAGTTGGTGTTGGATCCATCGGATGGTCCTTGGGACCCCAAAAGTTGGTGTTGGATCCATCGGATGGTCCTTGGGATCCCACCGTTGGTGTTGGATCCATCGGATGGTCCCTGGGATCCCACCGTTGGTGTTGGATCCCTTGGATGGTCCTTGGGATCCCACCATTGGTGTTGGATCCCTTGGATGGTCCCTGGGATCCCACCGTTGGTGTTGGATCCATCGGATGGTCCTTGGGATCCCACCGTTGGTGTTGGATCCATCGGATGGTCCTTGGGATCCCACTGTTGGTGTTGGATCCATCGGATGGTCCTTGGGATCCCACTGTTGGTGTTGGATCCATTGGATGGTCCTTGGGATCCCAAAAGTTGGTGTTGGATCCATCGGATGGTCCTTGGGACCCCACTGTTGGTGTTGGATCCATCGGATGGTCCTTGGGATCCCACTGTTGGTGTTGGATCCATTGGATGGTCCTTGGGATCCCAAAAGTTGGTGTTGGATCCATCGGATGGTCCTTGGGACCCCAAAAGTTGGTGTTGGATCCTTTGGATCTCAGGGATTTGGGATTTTATCCCGTTTTCCCCGTTGCTTAGTTTAGCTGTAAATCAGGATAAGCCCCAGCTCTGTGCCGGGGTTTGGATTCCAGAGGCCGCGTTTCCGTCCCGAGGAGAGTTTTCCAAGCTGGAAAATTCCGGCCGGATCACGGGCAGCTCCGGGCGGGCTCTGCCGCTCCCTCCTTTTTTTTTCCCCTGCGTTTTTTTCCCGGGATTGATTCCCCCCCCCCGCCGGAGCAGCTCCCGGGCACCGTTCCAGGGACAGGGAGTTTTTCCAAGGCCGGAATTCCCAGCGGGATGCGCCGGCTGTGCCGGCGGTGCCCAGCTGGGAGGGGAGGGGACGGGGAGGGGGAGGACGGGCTTCATCCCTCCTTCCCCATCCCGGTTTAACCCTGGAAAAGGCGCCGGAATGTGGAGGGAGACGCTCCCGATTCCCGCGGCCGGGAGAGGAAGGTGAGGGGAAAAAACGGTGGGAATTGGGGTGGGAAGGAGGCTCCGGGGGTTCCAAATATCCCTTGTTTTTCCGGCGGCGGCAGGTCCCGCTGCATCCAAGACTTTGGAAATCGAGAGTTGGGTGAATCATTCCAATTCCAGCTTTTTTTTTTTTTTCCTGAAAACCCCCGCTCTGATCCCGGCTTTAAACGGGAAGATCTTGGAATCTGGGGGGTTCGGGGGGGGGGTTTGGGAATATTCCTGGGTTTTAAACCTGCTTTTGGGAACGAGTCGTTCCCCGAAAAACCTGGGAAATGCCAGGGATTAAACCTGGGATTTATTCCCTTGGCCCGGCCCCTCGACTCGGGAATATCAACATTCCCGATTTTCCTGGGCTCGACTGTTTTTAAGGTGTTTCGAGGCTGTTTAATTATGGTAATTATATGTAAATGAGGGGGGGGTGGGGTTTACCTGCCTCGGGTGCCACAGGTCTCTCCAGGAAAAAACAGCTGGAAGCAAAGGAATTCCCGGAGTCGGGAACATTCCCGGGATTTCTCCATCCTTGACATTCCAAAGGTCGGGAGAAGCTCAGGGAGGGGGTGTCGGAGCAGGGAAGGGGGTTTAAGGAGCACATGGAAAAATCCGGCCCCTAAATCCACGGGAACGAGAATTTTCCAATTTGGGAAGAAATGGATCTTTTTTTTTTTCAGAGGGATTTGGGAAGTGGTTTCTCGTGGAAATTCACGGAGAGGGAAAAAAACCCTTCCCTTCTCCGCGAGGGAAGCCAATAACAGAGACGACCCCATCCCAAACCAGAAATCCCGGGAATACTGGGAATTCCTGTCCGTGCCAGGAGCGTGGCCGGGGCTCCGTCTCCTCTCCGACGCCCCTCGGGAATTCCTGGATCCATTTAAGGACCAAAAAAGGGCTTTTCGAGGGCGGGAAAATCCCGTTTATTCCGGAACGAGGCTTTTTGGGTGTTTAGGAAATAATCCCGGGGGGGCGGCGGCGGCTCCGGAGCTTTTTGGGAATATTGTTTTTCCTGTTATTTAATTGTTTGGGATTGAAAACTGGGCCTGGATGAGCTGATTTGCTGCTCCCGGGGTGGGGAGGGGTTTTTATCCGTGGCCGCTGCCGCCGGATGCCGCTGGAATGTCAACGGAAGCGGCGAATCCGGGAATTAAACCCCTGGATTTGGGAGGGGGGAACGTGGATTCCTCCCTGGGGTTGTGGCTTCCCCGTTTTTTGGCTCCGGCCTCGGCGTCTCGGGAATAAACGACCCCGTTTATCCAACCCCCGCTTCCGGTTGCGCCGGGAATTCCGTCCCGCCCGGCCTCGGGATGGTTGGGGTTGGAAGGGACCTGGAGGATCCTCCCGTTCCATCCTCCAGCATTCCCACCATCCCGGGGGGATCCAACCTGCCCTTGGACACTCCCAGGGATCCAGGGGCAGCCACGGCTCCTCTGGGAATTCCAGCCCAGCCCCTCCCAGCCAGGAATCCCTTCCCACTATCCCCCCTAACCCTGGGAAGCCATTCCCTGGGTGCTGTCCCTCCAGCCCTTGGCCCCAGTCCCTCTCCAGCTCTCCCGGAGCCCCTTCAGGCCCTGGAAGGGGCTCCAAGGTCTCCCTGGATCCTTCCCTTCTCCAGGGGAACATTCCCAGCTCCCTGGGATGTGGAGGGGGGGATAAACCCCGGGAAGGGGCTGGATGGAGGGGGTGGGGAAGGGGCGAGCAAGAAGTGGGAGAGATGGAGTCGGGCACGAGGTGGGAAATCCCGGGGGGGAACCGTGGTGGGATCAGTTCCCGCGTGTCCAGATCTCCGTGGAATTGCCCCAAATCTCTGTCCTGTCTCCGCGGTCGCTCCGTCGGCTCCGAGAGCTCCGAGACACGAGCGGGGAGGGGACATTCGGGGCTGGCACCTCCAGAGGTGTCCAAGGGGTGTCCAAGGGGGTGTCATTGCTCGGCGGGGCTTGGTTTTCCAGCCTGGGCATCCTGCGGGAATTCCTGGGGTCTGGAGGAGCCGGGAAGTGCCGTGGGATGGTTTTGGGATGGTGGCGGCGCCCTCGTGTCTCCGTCACCGGCATCCTCTTCGCTCTTGGGGTGGTTGGGAACGTCCACCCTTTGGGTTCTTCCGTGGTCTGGGAGGTTCAGGAGCGGGAATCCAGGGAATTCTGACCCCGCTGTGGTGTTTTCCACCCCCAAGGAATGCTTGGCTTTCCAGCCTGCGGGAATTCCTGGGGTCTGTGGGATGGTGCCACCAATTTTGGGATGGTGGCAGCGCCCTCGTGTCTCCGTCACCGGCATCCTCTTCACTCTTGGGGTGGTTGGGAACGTCCATCCTTTGGGTTCTTCCGTGGTCTGGGAAGGTTCAGGAGCAGGAATCCAGGGAATTCCGACCCCACTGTGATGTTTTCCATCCCAAAGGGGAGCTTGGCTTTCCAGCCTGCGGGAATTCCTGGGGTCTGTGGGATGGTGCCACCAATTTTGGGATGGTGGCAGGGCCCTCGTGTCTCCATCACCGGCATCCTCTTCACTCTTGGGGTGGTTGGGAACGTCCATCCTTTGGGTTCTTCCGTGGTCTGGTGGGTTCAGGAGCGGGGATCCCGGGAATTCTGACCCCGCTGCGGCGTTTCCCCCCCCCCCGCAGGACGTCGTCCCTGCGATGGAACGCCGGCACCAAGGAGCGGATGCTGATCAAGGTGACGGACCGGGAGCCGAGCTTCCTCCTGCACCAGGGCAACGGCTTCGCCCCCGAGTCCCAGGCGGGGCCGCGCTCCCGCCGCCCCTCCGGCGGCGGCCAGCAGTCCCCCAACCTGCAGACCTTCTCCTCCTCGGACGCCGACGGCTCCGTGTTCTTCCCGGAGAGGAAGGCGTCGCCCTTCCTGAAGAGGGCCGAGCTGCCGGGGAGCTGCTCCCCGCTGCTGGGCCGGGGGGACCCCTTCTGCTCCCCGCTGCAGGCGCAGCAGCACCGCAAGCACTCGGCCGAGTCGCAGCCGTCGTCGCCGCGCTACGCCTACGAGCCGCCGCTCTACGAGGAGCCCCCCATGGAGTACCAGGCCCCCATCTACGACGAGCCCCCCGTGGACATGCAGTACGAGGCCGGCGGCGGCGGCGGCGGCGGCTACAAGGCGGGCTCGCCCCAGAAGTCGCCGGTGCGGAAGCCGCACCCCTTCCTGCAGTCGCCCAAGCAAGGCTCCAACTCGCCCTACCAGCAGCTGGTGCTCACCAAGCAGAAGTGCCCCCCCGACCGCTTCATGAGCCTGGAGTACAGCCCCGCCGGCAAGGAGTACGTGCGCCAGCTCGTCTACGTGGAGCAGTCGGGCTCCAGCCCCAAGATGAAGACGGGCCTGAGGCACAAATACTCCCCCAACCCCATCGGGGGCTCCTACTCGCTGCAGCACAGCCCCTGCCTGGTGCGGGACCAGCGCCTGGACGTCAAATCCGGCGATTACAGCAGCATGGAAGGGCCCGACTTCTGCCCCGGCCCGGCGGCCCCGGGCGAGGACTCCATGTCGTGGTCCAGCCAGCAGGACACCTTGTCCTCCACCGGCTACTCGCCCTCCACCAGGAAGAGGAAGAGCCGGAAGCCTTCGGTGGCCCACGAGCCCAACGCCTCGGCCGCCGACGGCTCCGGGGAGAGGGAGGCGCTGGGGGAGCAGCTGCCGGGGGACGATCGAGCCGCCCCGGGGCCCAACCGCTCGCCCATGAACCGGACGGAGAGCAAGGCGGCCGAGGCGGAGGCGGGACGGGGCTTCCCGGAGCCCTTCCTGGCGCAGGCCCGCCTGGCGTGGGAGGCGCAGCAGGCCCACTACCACATGAAGCAGAGGAGCAGCTGGGATTCCCAAAAGGACGGGTCCGGCTACGAGAGCGACGGCGCCCTCCCCCTGCCCATGCCGGGCCCGGTGGTGAGGGCCTTCAGCGAGGACGAGGCGCTGGCGCAGCAGGAGAACAAGCACTGGAAGAGGAACACCTTCGAGAAGCTGGGCTTCCCCCAGATCCTGCTGGAGAAGAGCGTCTCCGTCCAGACCAACCTGGCCTCTCCCGAGCCCTACCTGCACCCGTCCCAGGTAACGCCCGCCGGGAACGGGGCCGGGGGACGCGCCGCCTGTCCCTCAGGGGAGGAGGTCCTTGGTTGGGTGGTCCCTCCAAGCTGGTGTTTACTAACCTGGTCCTTCAAAGAATTCGGTCCTTGGCGAGGTGGCCCCTCAAAGCTGGTCTTTATTAACCTGGTCCCTCGAAGAAGTTGCCAAGGTGGCCCCTCAAAGCTGGTCTTTATTAACCCGGTCCCTCAAAGTTTCCAAGGTGGTCCCTCAGAGTTGGTCTTTATTAACCCGGTCCCTCAAAGAAGTTGCCAAGGTGGTCCCTCCAAGCTGGTCTTTATTAACCTGGTCCCTCAAAGCTGGTCTTTATTAACCTGGTCCCTCAAAGCTGGTCTTTATTAACCTGGTCCCTCAAAGCTGGTCTTTATTAACCTGGTCCCTCAAAGAAGTTGCCAAGGTGGCCCCTCAAAGTTGGTCTTTATTAACCTGGTCCCTCAAAATTGCAAAGGTGGTCCCTCAAAGTTGGGGCTTGGCAAGGTGGTCCCACAAGGAAGTCGGTCCTTAGCAAGGTGGTCCCACAAGGAAGTCGGTCCTTAGCAAGGTGGTCCCTCAAAGCTGGGGCTTGGCAAGGTGGTCCCACAAGGAAGTCGGTCCTTAGCAGGGTGGTCCCTCAAAGCTGGGGCTTGCCAAGGTGGTCCCTCAGAGCTGGTCTTTACTAACCTGGTCCCTCAGAGAAGTTGGTCCTTGGCAAGGTGGTCCCTCGAAGCTGGTTGTTACCAACCTGGTGCTTGGCCCTCGAAGTCGGGGCTTGACAATATTGTCCCACGAGGAAGTTGGTCCTTGGCAAGGTGGCACCTCAAAACCTTGGGATGAAGGAGCCCCAAATGCACCAGCATTCCAGGATCTGCTTCCCGGGGCTCTCAGCTGCCCGTTCCCAGACGTTCCACTCCATCCACTTCATCCCAGGTGATGAAGCCACCTGAAGCCACCGGGGCCACGGATTGTCCATCCCAGTTGTCCTTGTTTGCTTCCTCTGTGCTGGTCAGCAGCTCTTTGGGTGTCCCACCCCCTCCTGGGGGGATGGCCGCAGGCTGTACTGGTTCCAGTAGGAGGAGGACACTGGTCTGCAGGGCTCCTTCCTGGCCGGGTGCTCTGCAGAGCTCACGGGGAAATCCCGGGCCCTTCGTGTCCGTCGGCACACGGGATGTAAAGAAGGAACATCCGTGTTCCTCACGGCTTGGAGGAGCCTCTGACCTCCTCCTGCGGCCGCTGGACAACCCCCTTGGGAGGTGATTTTGGGCAGAGGGGGTTTCCTGGGGGACTGGTTACAGGTGGGCGTGTCCGAAGGATGGGTGGAACCCAAAGCCACGTTCCTTCCACCGTGTTGCTTCTTCTCTCCGTGACTCCACCGGCCGAGGCGCCGGGAAGTGAGGAGAGTCCAGCACGGCGGCTTTGGGGGGCCTCGCTTATCCCACCTTCCTGCTGCCCATCGGTGCCACGACGCGCCTTGGCCGCCGGCACCGGGCAGCTCCACTTGGCCATGGTGGGATTGAGGAGCAGCTCCTTGGAGAGGACGTGGCTTTGGGGGCGGGTGGGAGGCGACCTCTGAACGCTGCAACGGCTGCTTGCTTGGGGGGGGGTTGGTGAGTTGGTGAATTGGTGGGTTGGCTGCTTGCTTGCTTGCTTGCTTGGTTGATTGGTTGGTGGGTTGGTGAGTTGGTGGGTTGGCTGGTTGGTTGGTTGACTGGTTGGTTGATTGGTTGGTTAGTGGGTTGGTGGGTTGGCTGATTGGTTAGTGGGTGGGTTGGTTTGTTGGTTGTTTGGTTGATGGGTTGACTGGTTGGTTGATTGGTTGGCTGGTTGGTTGATTGGTTGGCTGGTTGGTTGGTTGATTGATTGGTTGATCAGTTGATTGGTTGATCAGTTGGTTGGTTGATTGATTGGTTGGTTGATTGATCAGTTGATTGGTTGCTTGGTTGGTTGCTCGGTTGGTTGGTTGATTGGTTGGTTGATCAGTTGATTGGTTGGTGGGTTATCACTTTGTTGGTTGCTCAGTTGGTTGGTTGGTTGGTTGCTCAGTTGCTCAGTTGGTTGGTTGGTTGGTTGCTCAGTTGGTTGGTTGCTCAGTTGGTTGGTTGCTCAGTTGGTTGGTTGATTGGTTGGTTGATTGGTTGGTTGATTGCTCAGTTGGTTGCTCAGTTGGTTGGTTGGTTGGTTGCTCAGTTGGTTGGTTGCTCAGTTGGTTGGTTGATTGGTTGGTTGATTGCTCAGTTGGTTGCTCAGTTGGTTGGTTGGTTGGTTGCTCAGTTGGTTGATTAGTTGGTTGATTGGTTGGTTGCTCAGTTGGTTGGTCACTCGGTTGGTTGGTTGCTCAGTTGGTTGGTTGCTCAGTTGGTTGGTTGCTCGGTTGGTTGGTTGGTTGATTGGTTGGTTGGTCAATTGGTTGGTTGATCAGTTGATTGGTTGGTGGGTTATCACTTTGTTGGTTGCTCAGTTGGTTGGTTGGTTGCTCAGTTGGTTGGTTGCTCAGTTGGTTGGTTGCTCAGTTGGTTGGTTGATTGGTTGATTGATTGCTCAGTTGGTTGATTAGTTGGTTGATTGGTTGGTTGCTCAGTTGGTTGATTGGTTGGTTGCTCAGTTGGTTGATTAGTTGGTTGATTGGTTGGTTGCTCAGTTGGTTGGTCACTCGGTTGGTTGGTTGCTCAGTTGGTTGGTTGCTCAGTTGGTTGGTTGCTCAGTTGGTTGATTAGTTGGTTGATTGGTTGGTTGCTCAGTTGGTTGGTTGCTCAGTTGGTTGGTTGCTCAGTTGGTTGCTCAGTTGGTTGGTTGCTCAGTTGGTTGGCTGGTTGGTCGATTGGTTGGTTGCGCAGTCAGTTGGCCGCTCAGCCAGTTGCCCGCTCGGTTGATTGGTTGGTCGCTCAGTTGCCCGCTCGGTTGCCCAGTCTCTCAGTGGCTCTCCGCCGTCTCCGCCCTTCCCCGAGTAACGCTCCCTCGCGCGGTGTCGCCCCGCAGTCCGAGGACCTCGGCGCCTGCGCCCAGTTCGAGAGCAGCCGCCAGACCAGGAACATGATGCCGAGCGCCAGCTGCGTCTTCCCCACCTTCAACCTGCGCAAACCCTCCTCGGAGACGGACATTGAGAACTGGGCCTCCAAGCACTTCAACAAGCACACCCAAGGGCTCTTCCGCCGCAAGGTCTCCATCGCCAACATGTTGGCCTGGAGCAGCGAATCCATCAAGAAACCCATGATCATGACCAACGACCGCAACGTCAAGAAGGAGGCGTGCGAGATCTTCAAGCTCATCCAGATGTACATGGGCGACCGGCGGGCCAAGACGGACCAGCTCAACGTGGCCCTGGAGATCGCCACCAAGGGCTGGAGCGTGCAGGGGCTGCGAGACGAGCTCTACATCCAGCTGTGCCGGCAGACCACCGAGAACTTCCGTTACGAGAGCCTGGCCCGGGGCTGGGAGCTCATGGCCATCTGTTTGGCCTTTTTCCCCCCCACTCCCAAATTCCACTCCTACCTAGAAGGATACATTTACCGGCACATGGACCCGGTGAATGACACGAAAGGTAAGTGAGAAAACCACGGCCCGGCGGCGTCTGTGACCGCCCCGTCCTTGGAAGTGTCCGAGGCCATGTTGGACGGGGTTTAGGAGCGACCTGGTCTAGTGGAAGGTGTCCCTGCCCATGGCAGGGGGTGCAACAAGATGAGCTTTAAGGTCCCTTCCAACCCAACCCAACCCAACCCATCCCACGATTCCGCGATGGCCCGGCCCGGTTCTTTGTTCCGCTTTGGTTCCTTTCCCATCCGTTGAGTTTCTCCTTGGAAAGGCGGGCGAGGAGCTCATCCAAGACCCGCCCCCAGCGGGGCCTTTCCCGCCCTCCTCCTGCCGGGAAATCCGACGTGGGCTCCGACAGGGAACGAGCTCGGGCGCCGTTGCCGCGGGATGGACGTCGCCTCCACCGGGGGTGTCCGTGAGCGACTTCCTGAAACTTCTCCCACCCCCCGAGGAGATGCCCCGCCCTCTCGAGGTGTCCGACTCATTTCCCACCGGATTCAACACCCGGAGCTCCCCCGGAAGAGGCTCCGCCCCCCGACCCCTCCTGTCCAATCAGTGTCGCCCCCCTGGGTTCGGTCCCGAGTTTTTGTCGTTTTGAGTTCCGTTGTTTTATTTTCAGGTGTTTTCGTTGGTTTTGTGTCGAGTCATTGATTGGTTTCATCGTTACGTTGATTTTAATTTGCATCTTCATTTGCATAGAATTTGTTTGTATTTGCATCCCATTGTCGTTTCCCTCTGGTTTTTATTTTCGTTTTAGTTTTATTTTATTCTTTTAATTTTCAGTTTTCTTCGATTTTTTTATCTTTAAATCTTTTCCTTATTTTTTAATTCGAACTCGCTTTCGTTTTGGCATTTTTATTTTTCTTTATTTTGCCCTTAGTTTTTACTTTTAATTTCAATTCCCTTTTATTTCTAGATCCCTCACTGTAATTTCATTTAATTTTTATTTTGATTTCCTTTATTTTTTTTTATTTCCCGCCTTAATTTTGATTTATTTTTATAGTTTTAATTTGATTTAATTTAATTTTTTTTACTTCGTTTCATTTTCGGTTTTTATTTTCGGTTTTTATTTTCGGTTTTTATTTTCGGTTTTTATTTTCGGTTTTTATTTTCATTTTTTTTATTTAGTTTTTTATTTTTATTTTTCATTTTTATTTCCGTTCCCTTTATTTTTCTTCCATGATTTCCCTCCCCCTCCCCCCGTTGTTCCCTCCCACCGAGTTCCTTTTCCAGCCTCACATTCCATGTTCCCGGCCCCCCTCCGTGTGTTTCTCCCCAGTGACGCGGCACATCCGTCACCTCCTGGAAAGGACCAATCAGAAGAAACCCAAATTGCGAAAGAAACCCAAGCCCCAAATCGAGGAGCACCATGGTAGGGACCCCCCAAAATCTGGGAGCACCCCAAAGCCGGGACCCCCCCCGGATCAGTCCTGGGAAACCCCGGAACGACCCTTCACCCCCCCCCCCAGATCAATTGGGATCCCCTGGATCCAGCTGGGATCACCCGAAAATCTGGGATAGCCCAAAGCCTGCGATCCCTCCAGCTTAGGGATCCCCTGGATCGATGTGGGATCCTCCAGACCAATATGGGATCCCCTGGATCAGTGTGGGATCCCAAGGATCAATGTGGGATCCCCTGGATCAGTGTGGGATCCCAAGGATCAATGTGGGATCCCCTGGATCAATACTAACCCCCCCCGATCAGTACAGAACCCCCCAGATTAATCTGGGATCCTCTGGCTCGATCTGGGACCCTCTGGCTCAATGTGGGATCCCCTGGATCAATACCAACCCCCTGGATTAATACGGAACCCCCCAGATTAATCTGGGATCCCCTGGCTCAATCCGGGATCCCTGGCTCAATGTGGGATCCCAAGGATCAATGTGGGATCCCCTGGATCAATATCAAACCCCCCTGATCAATACGGAACCCCCCTGATTAATCTGGGATCCCCTGGCTCGATCTGGGACCCTCTGGTTCAATGTGGGATCCCAAGGATCAATATGGGATCCCCTGGATCAATACCAACCCCCTCGGGTTAATACGGAACCCCCCAGATTAATCTGGCATCCTCTGGCTTGATCCAGGTCCCCCTGGTTCAATGTGGGATCCTCTGGCTCAATGTGGGATCCTCCAGATCAATGTGGGATCCTCCAGACCAATGTGGGATCCCCTGGATCAATACCAACCCCCTCGGGTTAATACAGAACCCCCCAGATTAATCTGGGATCCCCTGGCTTGATCCAGGTCCCCCTGGCTCAATGTGGGATCCCCTGGATCAATACTAACCCCCCCGGATTAGTACAGAACCCCCCAGATTAATCTGGGACCCTCTGGTTCAATGTGGGATCTCCCGGATCAATATGGGATCCCCTGGATCAATACAAACCTCCTTGGGTTAATACAGAACCCCCCAGATTAATCTGGGATCCTCTGGCTTAATCCAGGTCCCCTGGCTCAATGTGGGATCCTCCGGATCAATGTGGGATCCTCTGGATCAATGTGGGATCCCCTGGATCAATACCAGCCCCTCTGGATTAATACGGAACCCCCCAGATTAATCTGGGATCCCCTGGTTCAATCCAAGCCCCCCGACTCAATGTGGGATCCCCTGGATCAATGTGGGATCCTCCAGATCAATGTGGGATCCCCTGGATCAGTGTGGGATCCCCTGGATCAGTGTGGGATCCTCCAGACCAATGTGGGATCCCCTGGATCAATACCAACCCCCTCGGGTTAATACGGAACCCCCCAGATTAATCTGGGATCCCCTGGCTCAATCTGGGCCCCCCGGTTCAATGTGGGATCCCAAGGATCAATGTGGGATCCCCTGGATCAGTGTGGGATCCTCCAGACCAATGTGGGATCCCCTGGATCAATGTAGGATCCTCTGGATCAATGTGGGATCCCCTGGATCAATACCAGCCCCCCTGGATTAATACGGAACCCCCCGATTAATCTGGGATCCCCTGGCTCAATGCGGGCCCCCCGACTCAATGTGGGATGCCCCGGAACAATGTGGGATCCCCTGGATCAATGTGGGATCCCCTGGATCAATGCGGGATCCCCTGGATCAATGCGGGATCCCCTGGATCAATACCAATCCCCCGGATCAATAGGGGACCCCCCAATTCAATGTGAGGTCTCCTACATCTCTCCAGACCCCTGGGATTGATTCCAGACCCCCCCCATCAATCTGGGACCCCCCAGATCGATGTGGGAACCCTGGATCAATCTGGGACCCCCCCGGATCAATACAGGACTCTTCGGAATAACATGGGATCCCTCAAATCCGGGACCCCCTGGATCAATCCTGGGACCCCCCTCCTGATCAATTGGGATCCCCTGGATCAACCCCAGGACCCCTCAGATCAATGCAGGATCCCTCCAAATCCGGGACCCCTCAGATCAATAGGGGACCCCTGGATCAATAGGGGACCCCCGGCTCGGTGTGGGACCTGCCGGGATCAATAGGGGACCCCAGGATCAATACCAGACTCCCGGGATCAATAGGGGACCCCCGGATCAATAGAAGACCCCTGGATAAATGTGGGATCTGCCGGGATCAATAGGGGACCCCCGGGATCAATAGGGGACCCCAGGATCAGAGTGGGGCCTGCCAGGATCAATAGGGGACCCCCGGATCAATAGGGGACCATGGGATCAGTGTGGGACCTACCGGGATCAATAGGGGACCCCGGGATCAATAGGGGACCCCAGGATCAGAGTGGGGCCTGCCAGGATCAATAGGGGACCCCCGGATCAATAGGGGACCATGGGATCAGTGTGGGACCTACCGGGATCAATAGGGGACCCCGGGATCAATAGGGGACCCCTGGATCAATGTGGGACCTGCCGGGATCAATAGGGGACCCCTAGATCAATAGGGGACCTCGGGATCAGTGTGAGACCTGCCGGGATCAATAGGGGACCCCGGGATCAATAGGGGACCATGGGATCAGTGTGGGACCTGCCGGGATCAATAGGGGACCCCGGGATCAATAGGGGACCCCAGGATCAGAGTGGGGCCTGCCAGGATCAATAGGGGACCCCGGGATCAATAGGGGACCATGGGATCAGTGTGGGACCTACCGGGATCAATAGGGGACCCCGGGATCAATAGGGGACCATGGGATCAGTGTGGGACCTACCGGGATCAATAGGGGCCCCCCGGATCAATAGGGGACCCCTGGATCAATGTGGGACCTGCCGGGATCAATAGGGGACCCCTAGATCAATAGGGGACCTCGGGATCAGTGTGAGACCTGCCGGGATCAATAGGGGACCCCAGGATCGATAGGAGACCCCTGGTTCAGTGTGGGACCTACCAGGATCAATAGGGGACCCCTGGGATCAATGTGGGACCTACCAGGATCAATAGGGGACCTGCCGGGATCAATACCAGACTCCCGGGATCAACAGGGGACCCCCAGATTGATACCAGACTCCTGGGATCAATGTGGGACCTGCTGGGATCAATAGGGGACCCCGGGATCAATGTGGGACCTGCCGGGATCAATAGGGGACCCCTGGATCAATGTGGGACCTGCCGGGATCAATAGAAGACCCCCGGATCAATGTGGGACCTGCTGGGATCAATAGGGGACCCTGGGATCAATGTGGGACCTGCCGGGATCAATAGGGGACCCCGGGATCAATGTGGGACCTGCCGGGATCAATAGGGGAGGGATTCCTGTCAATGTGTCATTACCCGATCCCAAAGGGGGTGATGGGATTCCAAGGGAATCCGAGTTGAGGAACCTCCAGGGGGTTGATGGGATCGCCCAAGGAAGGGCTTTGGGAGCATCCAAGGGAATCCGAGTTGAGGAACCTCAACGGGATTGGTGGGATCACCCAAGGAAGGACTTTGGGAGCATCCAAGGGAATCCGAGTTGAGGAACCTCAATGGGGTTGATGGGATCACTCATGGAAGGGCTTTGGGAGCATCCAAGGGAATCCAAGTTGAGGAACCTCAATGGGGTTGATGGGATCACTCATGGAAGGGCTTTGGGAGCATCCAAGGGAATCCGAGTTGAGGAACCTCCAGGGGGTTGATGGGATCACTCATGGAAGGGCTTTGGGAGCATCCAAGGGAATCCGAGTTGAGGAACCTCAATGGGGTTGATGGGATCAGTCATGGAAGGGCATTGGGAGCATCCAAGGGAATCTGAGTTGAGGAACCTCAACGGGATTGGTGGGATCACTCATGGAAGGGCTTTGGGAGCATCCAAGGGAATCCAAGTTGAGGAACCTCCAGGGGGTTGATGGGATCACTCATGGAAGGGCTTTGGGAGCATCCAAGGGAATCTGAGTTGAGGAACCTCCAGGGGGTTGATGGGATCGCTCATGGAAGGGCGTTGGGAGCATCCAAGGGAATCCAAGTTGAGGAACCTCCAGGGGGTTGATGGGATCACTCATGGAAGGGCTTTGGGAGCATCCAAGGGAATCCAAGTTGAGGAACCTCAATGGGGTTGATGGGATCACTCATGGAAGGGCGTTGGGAGCATCCAAGGGAATCCCAGTTGAGGAACCTCAACGGGATTGGTGGGATCGCCCAAGGAAGGGCTTTGGGAGCATCCAAGGGAATCCAAGTTGAGGAACCTCAACGGGATTGGTGGGATCGCCCAAGGAAGGGTTTTGGGAGCATCCAAGAGTTCTGGGTGACCGTGGAGACGATGGGATCAAATCCACCCTCGGCACCTTCGGCGGTGACGCCCCACGGATTGGGGGGGATGGGAGCTGATCCATCGTCTCCTGGGCTTCTTCTTCCCGAGATCCCGCCTGGCCCTGCCGGAGGGTGTCCCTGCCCACAGGGGTGGGCGCTGTGCTCCTTCCCAACCCAAACCCTTCCATGATCCCGGGGGTTCAGGAGGTCCCACGAGTCCTTTCCGTCAGACCCTCCCACCCCATCCAGGAACATCCCCCAGAGCCCGAAAACCCCCCGGGAACTCGGGGATCCCGGGGACGAAGGGCCGAGGAGACGATCCCGAGGCCCCGGGTTTGGGTTTGACCCCGAAAAATGACCCTCGAGGGGTTGGACGTCCAGCAGGAATTCTCCGGAGGGGGCCACCAGGTCCCCAGGGCTGCTTCGGGGATGGGCCAGGTCCTGAGAGCTCTGGGAAAGGTCCAGAAGGTTCCGTCAGGTCCTGAGAGCTCTGGGAAAGGTCCAGAAGGTTCCGTCAGGTCCTGAGAGCTCTGGGAAAGGTCCAGAAGGTTCTGTCAGGTCCTGAGAGCTCTGGGAATGGTCCAGAAGGTTCCGTCAGGTCCTGAGAGCTCTGGGAAAGGTCCAGAAGGTTCCACCAGGTCCCCAGGACTACGGAATGGTCCAGAAGGTTCCGTGACGTCCCCAAGGTTGTGGGAATGGTCCAGAAGGTGCCACCAGGTCCCCAGGGCTGTAGGTCCAGAAGGTTCCACCAGGTCCCCAGGACTATGGAATGGTCCAGAAGGTTCTGTGAGGTCCCCAGGGCTTTGGGAATGGTCCAGAAGGTTCCGTGAGGTCCCCAGGGCTGTGGGAAAGGTCCAGAAGGTTCCACCAGGTCCCCAGGACTATGGAATGGTCCAGAAGGTTCTGTGAGGTCCCCAGGACTATGGAATGGTCCAGAAGGTTCCACCAGGTCCCAGGACTATGGAATGGTCCAGAAGGGTCCATCAGGTCCCCAAGGCTGTGGGAATGGTCCAGAAGGTTCTGTGAGGTCCCCAGGACTATGGAAAGGTCCAGAAGGTGCCAGCAGGTCCCCAGGTCTCCTTCTGGGAAGGGGTTGAGGTCTCATCTCCTCGTTGAAGGCCATCAGGAGGAGGGGGTGGATGAGGAGGGGGATGAGGGTGGGATCGGTGGGATCGGCAGGAGATGGATGGTACTGGGGAGGGGGGAGGTGACAATGGAAGTGGTGACCCCCCTCAGAACCCGGGACACCCCTGGCCGAGGCCCCCACGGAGCCGAGGGAGCTCCGGGACCCCACGTCGGGCGGCTCCTCCGAGGTTCTGGGGAGGGGTGGGGCCACCAGGAGGATCCGAGGGGGGACCTCGTCCTCCTCAGACCCCCCGGGAACGGGGATGGGGATGGACATCCGGGGGGAGGGGGGGGAAAGGAGGGGACAGGAGCCCCTCCAGGGCCCGGAGGGGACATCCCACCCCCCCGATGTTCTCTTGCAGGGGTGGCCATCAGCACTTACGCCAAGTACTGCTACAACAAGCTCCAGAAGGCGGCTCTGACCGGGGCCAAGAAGGTACCAACCCACGGGATGGGCCTGGAAAACCCTTGGAGAGGGTGGACAACCCCTTCCGGGGGGGGGGGTCACCCCCTGCCGGGACCACTGGACTGGGGAGGGGCTGGTGGGGGAGGAAGGGGGGGAAGTGGAAAAGGGGTGGGGAGTTCGGGAAGGAGCCACGGGGAGGATCATCCGGAGCGGTTGGAGACCTTCGGGAGAACTCTGGGAATCTTCTGGAGACCCGGAGCTGTTCTGGGGACCTTCGGGAGAACTCTGGGAATCTTCTGGAGACCCGGAGTTGTTCTGGGCACCTTCTAACGACCACCTGGGGATCTCCTGGGAACATTCTGGAAACCCTCTAACGACCCTCTGGAGATTTTCTGGGAACCTCCCGGGAAACTTCTGAAGACCTTCCAGGGACCTTCTGGGGAACTTTCTGGAGATTTTCTGGAGACCTTCTGGAAGTTTTCTAAGGACCTTACGGGAAACCCTCTGGAGATTTTCTGGAGACCTTCTGAAGACTCTCTCAGGACCTTCTGGGAACCTTCTGGGAACCTTCTGGAAACTTTCTGGAAGACCTTGTAGGGACCTTCTGGGAACTTCCTAAGGAACTTCTGGAGACCTCCTGGGAACTTTCTGAAGATCTGAGAACTACCTGGGGGTCTTTTGGGGACCTCTCCCACCCCACCACCCCCACATCCACTGGGTCCCTCTGTGTCCCACATCCCACCGCCCCCGGGGCCGCTCTGTCCATCCTCCATCCTCCATCCCCCCCACTCCACACCTTGCCGTGACCACTCCCACCCTGCTGCGTGCCAGGGACAACCTCAGTGTCCTCCCGTGACCGGAAGGAGATCCCACAGATCCGGAATAATTCAGGATCACCGGATCCGGCGCCGATCCAACCACAGCGCCGGTGCTGAGCTTTCCAGAAGAATCCCAAAGCCGGGCTTCCTCCTCCTGGGCAATCCACCGGTGTAGGTCCTCCAGCATGGCCATGGACCCACCAAGGTCCATCGGGATCATCCCCAGGGCTGGATCTGCTTCCAGATTGAGGTGGTGGATGATGGAACCCACCAGTGCTGAGCTTTCCAGAAGAATCCCAAAGCCGTGGCTCCTCCTCCTGGACAATCCACCGGTGTAGATCCTCCAGCGTGGAGGTCCCACCAAGGTCCATCGGGATCATTCCCAGGGCTGGATCTGCTTCCAGATCGAGGTGGTGGGTGGATGGTGGATGGTGGAACCCACCGGTGCTGAGCTTTCCAGAAGAATCCCAAAGCCGGGGCTCCTCCTCCTGGACAATCCACCGGTGTAGATCCTCCAGCGTGGCCACGGACCCACCAAGATCCATTGGGATCATCCTCAGGGCTGGATCTGCTCCCAGATCAAGGCGCTGGGTGGGTGGTGGATGGTGGAACCCACCGGTGCTGAGCTTTCCAGAAGAATCCCAAAGCCGTGGTTCCTCCTCCTGGGCAATCCACTGGTGTAGATCCCCCAGCGTGGAGGTCCCACCAAGGTCCATCGGGATCATCCTCAGGGCTGGATCTGCTTCCAGATCAAGGTGGTGGATGGTGGAACCCACCAGTGCTGAGCTTTCCAGAAGAATCCCAAAGCCTCCTGGACAATCCACCGGTGTAGATCCCCCAGCGTGGCCACGGACCCACCAAGATCCATCGGGATCATTCCCAGGGCTGGATCTGCTTCCAGATCGAGGTGGTGGGTGGTGGAACCCACCGGTGCTGAGCTTTCCAGAAGAATCCCAAAGCTGTGGCTCCTCCTCCTGGGCAATCCACCGGTGTAGATCCTCCAGCGTGGCCACGGACCCACCAAGGTCCATTGGGATCATCCCCAGGGCTGGATCTGCTTCCAGATCGAGGTGGTGGATGGTGGAACCCACCGGTGCTGAGCTTTCCAGAAGAATCCCAAAGCCTCCGGGACAATCCACCGGTGTAGATCCTCCAGCGTGGAGGTCCCACCAAGGTCCATCGGGATCATCCCCAGGGCTGGATCTGCTCCCAGATCAAGGCGCTGGGTGGGTGGTGGAACCCCCCGGGCTCAGAGCTGGAGACCTCATCCAGCTCCGCCAGATCCATCCGTGGATGGATCCCTCGTGGAGCTCCTCCGGTGGGGGGGTGGCTGGGATCGAGGAGGACCCTCCGGAGCTCCCGGCGGCGCCGGTGACCTCCCGTGTCTCCGGCAGGGCCTGAAGAAGCCGAACATCGAGGAGATCCGCCACGCCAAGAACGCCGTGTTCAACCCCTCCATGTTCGGCAGCTCCCTGCAGGACATCGTGGCCATGCAGAAGGAGCGTTACCCCGACCGGCAGCTGCCCTGGGTGCAGACCCGCCTCTCCGAGGAGGTCCTGGCGCTCAACGGGGACCAGACTGAGGGCATCTTCAGGTAAAGCCGCCCCGCGGCCACGGGGAGTCCTCAGAGCGGTGCTGACCCGGAGCTTCTTGGGGGGGAAGCCACAAATCACCTCGTTTTGGGGTGTTTTCCTCCTTACACGTGTCCTCCTCCAGTGGGTGACCCCGAGGTGGTGGCAACCTGGAGCTTCTCATGGCAGAAGCCACAAATCACCTCGTTTTGGGGTGTTTTCCTCCTTCCGTGTGTCCTTCTCCACTGGGTGATCTCGAGGTGGTGACAACCTGGAGCTTCTCGTGGTGGAAGCCACAAGTGACCTCATTTTGGGGTGTCTTCCTCCTTCCATGTGTCCTTCTCCAGTCGGTGAGCTCAAGGTGGTGGCAACCTGGAGCATCTCCTGGCAGAAGCCACAAATCACCTCGATGCGGGGCAGCCGCCCCCTTCCCCGTGTCCTTGGGGTGTCCTTCTCCTCCAGCGGGTGACCCCAAGGTGGTGGCAACCTCGAGCTCCTCGTGGTGGAAGCCACGTCCCCCCAACTTCTCCTCGTCCCCCTCAACTTCTCCTCGTCCCCCCAACTTCTCATCCCCCCAACTTCTCATCCCCCCAACTTCTCGTCCCCCCAACTTCTCCTCGTCCCCCCAACCTCTCCTCGCTCCGAGGCCACGGCGGTTTCTCCACCGGTCTCACCTCAAGGGCTCGGTGGCCTCCCCCAGCTCCCCAAACGGCTCCACGAGGTCCCCTCCGGGCTCTCCCCGAGCACCCAAAGGTGCTGAGCGGGCGCGTCCCCCCCTCCCGGACGGGCACCCACCCCTGTCCCCCCGCAGGGTCCCCGGGGACATCGACGAGGTCAACGCCCTCAAGCTGCAGGTGGACCAGTGGAAGATCCCCACGGGCTTGGAGGACCCCCACGTTCCCGGTAAGACCCCCACGTTCCCAGTAGGACCCCCAAGTTCCCGGTAAGACCCCCATGTTCCCAGTAGGACCCCCACGTTCCCGGTAAGACCCCCATGTTCCCGGTAAGACCCCCCCATTCCCGGTAGGACCCCCACATTCCCAGTAGAACCCCCACAATCCCAGTAGGACCCCCACGTTCCCAGTAGGACCCCCATGTTCCCAGTAGGACCCCCATGTTCCCAGTAGGATGGCTCCCCCACACCCACCCAGGGCTCCCCCACACCCACCCGTGGCTCCCCCACACCCACCCGTGGCTCCCCCACATCCACCCGTGGCTCCCCCACACCCACCCGTGGCTCCCCCACACCCACCCGTGGCTCCCCCACATCC